TTTTTTGGTTTTTTTTTTTGGTTTTTCTCCGGTACCGGGAACCGAACTCACAACCTTGCGCTTGCCAGGCAGGCGCTTTGCCGGTGAGCTAAATCCCCAGCCCCTAGAACTTTCTTTTGGACCCTCAGAGGAAGGCAGATGGGAGAAGTAGCATGTTATAATGTTTGTCATACATTTTACTACCCCAGAACACTACAGAGTAATTCCACATTTTCCCATCAGTCACATCAGCTGACATCTGCAGAGATTCACAACCATTAGAGGTACACATCTGGATGTTATGGAAGTTGAAAGTAAAAAGCTTCCTAGATGAATGTAGTATAACCCTTTCCCATCTTCCTTGAGACTTCTAGATGCAGGCTTGAACTGAATCAGTTCTGCCACTAACCAGCTACATGACCATAGACAGGTTGCTTATTCTGAGAATTAGTTTCGTTATATATAAGACAACAAATCCTACCTGGTCGCATTACTGAAAGTATTAAAGCTATCACAGTATACAGTCATAGAGCCAGATCTTAATGTAATGATTAGCTACTAGCATAATGATTTGTTTTAAAAGCCTTGTTGTGAAGCTAGGCGTGGAAGTGAACTCAGGAGGATGATACAGGAAGATCATGAGTTTGAGATTATCTTGGCCTACAAAGCACAACCATGTCTCAGAAGACAAAACAAAACAAAAACCCCAAAAACTATATTGTAAGATATGGAGTCTTCTCAGCCAGGCTTTAGGCAAAAGTGAAAATCCTAGGATTTTCAAAAATGTGATTTTAACAGTAAGTGCTCTAAGCAATGACATAGACCAGCTTAGGTTGAGGCCAAGTATTTCATGAAATTGCAATTGCTAAAATTAAGAAATTGGGCACAAGGCAGGAGAAAACTGTCATTTCTCAGTTGCCAGTTTATTAAGCTTATTTATCTGGAAGGGAAAAATTTTAACCCTCTTAACAGATTTTTTTAAGTGTGTAACAGAGGTAAATTTAAAGTATGCATTTGTGATTGACTGAGGGGAAAAGCTAAGTAAACTTCTGTTTTAAAAAACCACATAGACATATTTTTGCAAGTAGAAAGAGGAGCAAGAGTTGGAGGGACAGGGAAGGAAAAGAGGAGAAGAATATGAAAAAGGCAGAAGATGTGTCATGCTCATATATCAACTCCCCATGATGAATGTGATCATTGTGTACTGCAAACATGGACTAATAAAAGTAAAAATAAAATAAAATCGCACAGATGTAATGCCCCAAGTTCCTTATCTGGAATGGGAAGGATAAGACCATTCATTTGTTTAACAAATATTTATTGAACACCAGCTGCATTTATCAGACAAAGCACTAAACATAAAATGAACTGATTACATTAAAAAAAAAAAAAAGTTTTCTTTACTGTGAGTAGAATTGCAGCCCGGAGACTGTTTCTCCGAGGTCTGAGAAGGGAAGTCATGATCAAGGGTTCTTCTTGTCTGTAAGAAGTTTGATTCCTACCACATGGTAGAGCGGTAAGGGCTGAAGGGGAGATAACCCTCATGTGAGGTTAGGATAAGGCACATTGTGGAGGATTCACTTTGATATTTTTCTTTTCTCCGTTGCTATTTCTGTCCATTATTCCTAAATCTCTTCCAGTAAAATTGTATTAAATGTTGCCCTCTGTTCCCTGTTTGGGGAAATTACAAGACGACTACCAATGGGGTTCCTTGGAGGTTGGTGGTAAGTATTCCTTGGGAATTCCTAGAAATCACCAGGAAGAAAAAGTTGGAGACTGACCTTATTAGAGTTGTATAAAGGCACAAGGCTGAAAGTTATTAGGATATTAATTAGAAAGGCAGTCCTTTGAAGGCTGGAGAACTCTGCATACCCCTATTATACATGGTCTTTGTGGATGGCTTGAATGACCATAACAAAGAGGCTGAGCAGATTCTCCTGACACCAGGCCCCTGGGCATAAAAATACAAGTGCATCACATGCTTGTTACAATGTCCAAAAGCAGCTGCTCTGAAAGGACTGCCAATGTCCCGTTCAAGGTGATGTCCTTTTATTCCTCTTTGTCTCCCTTCTTTACCATTCTTTCTTCTCTCAAATGCTCTCTCAGCACCTGTTGTCCAAATGAAGTGAAGATGAAATTAATACAAGTGCTATTCCATATGAATTATTACATTTAACCCCTTATAACAGCTTAGCAAGACAGGTGGGATCATCCCTGTTTTACTGATGAAAAATGTGAATTGAGAGTCCTATGTCCAAAGAAACCTAAGCTATAAGTAGGTAATAGCCCTCAGGTCCAAACATAGGTTTATCTAACTCCACAGATCTTTACATGATCCACAAAGGAAAATGTAATTTCAGATTCATCTAAGCAAATTATAACGAAGAAGAAAAACACATTGGGAGAAATGCTTATTGTTTCTAAGCAAACAAAGTGGTTACCCAATAGTGAACACTGACCTCAAGTTGTAACTGAAGAGGCCTAGATTCAAACACTTCCTCTCCACTATACAAATGGAGACAGAGTGGTCAAAGGCATTTTCAGCCAGCTCATGGCAAAATAAGATAAACCTTCTTTCATGATAGGCACAGAGAGATGACATCTATCTCCTGGGAATCAAACAGTTGTGTAGATGATTAATAAAAATCTGAGGTTACAAACACAACTTGTATTACATAACTGGGCCCAATAATTTAATCTTACAAAATATCCCCTGCCCATTCAAATTATGTTTACATGTAGAGACACATCTGTGGTTGACAGGTGGAGAATTCACAGCCCTCTTGTAAAGCATTGGTCATGATAGAACTAAGGTCACTCAACATAGGGACGGTTCACCTCTATGTTGTATAATAACACTGGCCTTAAAATAGCCACTCACGTTGGCACAGTCTAGACCTGTGGTCTCAAATGGACTGTGGCTGATGGTTTTCCCAGTCTTCAGTCCTTCAGAGACCAATACCTTCATAAGCTACAATAAGTATAATTTAGTGGAGAAATAAACAAAGACATATCAAATAGAATCCTAAAATTTTAACCATTAGATTCAATGGTCCTAAGATTAGTGTGTTACATTTTTCTATAGATTTCTAAACATTCTGAAACTTTTGTCCTTACACCTCTGTACATCAGTAGGTTGTGAACTGGCGCAAGTGCACAGGTCGCACTTGAACAAGCACTTCTGTTTCACTGTCATTTACAGTGATCTCTCACCTATCGGGAGTTACGGTCCAGAGACCCCTGTGATAGATGAAAATCCACGAAGTAGCAACATTATATTTATGTTATTTATATATATTCTAAGGCTTTATAAACCCTTCCCACACTCCTATAAACTTTTCCCACTCTCTTATTAACCTTTCCCACATTTTTATAAACACATCATATGCTCTTAAATACAAGGAGAAATGCTAAACATATGGGCACAGTGCGGGAGAGCAAACAGATACTATAGTCACTGAGCCAATCAGCGCCCAGGATACAGAACACAGTGCTGTGATTGGTCTCCTTCCATTCCACCAGCCAATAGCATGCTATGTACAATCTCACATTGGCAAACTTTCGCAAGCAGTAGTGGTGTACTGTGTTTCCATTGTGTACAGTACGTTATTTATCCATTGATGAAATACATACTGTATATTATTTTGATTTAATATTCTTTTAATATGCTTGAATTAACATTTTTTATTTTTTATATTGTTTTAAATTTCTGAGGCAAAAATAATTAAAATCGTAAATATTATATAAATATCTATGTACTGTAAAATCCTGCGATATAGTGAAAACTCTGTGATACAGAATTAGACTTTTTTAAAAAAACCTCATGATACAGTGAAATCTCCATAAGTGAACTGCAATATAGCAGGGGACGATTGTACACTTGCCTGACCTCAGCTTCTTTATGGCTGGTGGATAGTCATCCCTTGCTATATTGCAGTTCATTAAATACTTCATGCTCAGTGTAGTCTCCAGTTACCAGTTAATGATGAATTATTTATTTCCTTCTTCTCTTTTGTCTTTTTTCCCCCACCAACTACAGGCTTGCTTAAGGGAAGAAAGTAAGAGAAATATAAAAGTCTAGATTATATTCCTTTCTAATAATTGCTGTATAACTCTGACTGTTGTTTTTTATGATCTCAAAGATTAAAATTGCCTCTGGTAGCACTAGGATAAAACTTCGATACTTACATGTTCCTTCCCTAGTTTTCCCCCCGCCTGGCTCTGTACCCACACTCTAGATGTAAGAAAGGAGACTCTGAGAATCCTATTTTGGTCATAAGAGTCAGTCTCCTAAAAGCAGCAATTCTACAGTGAAAACATCCTGAGAAAAGAAGGGGTGGTCATGACAAAAACCATGATTTTTTTCATTAGAAATGAAAAGTGATGTTTTAGTCATTTATAGGGACTGTGTGACATAATAATGTATATTTGGTTTCTGCCGCAGGTTCCTTGCAGAGTTCCTAAAACTCTTATAATTTGCAGAATGATATAGGGGACTGGAGCATATTATGTTCTAATGAGGTGTCTCTTCGTGGCCGTGTTGTTAGCTGCTCACCAGAAAGGCCAAGCCATGATTAGAGACTTGGAACCTTCAACCCCACCCGCTGGCTTCTGAGGGAGGGAGAGGGGCTACAGATAGAGTTAATAATTGATCGTGCCTATATGATGATGCCTTTATAAAAATCCTTAACCTTCAGGTTTTAGATATCTCTGGGATGGCAAACTCATCCATGAGCCGAGAGGATGGTATACTCCAGCTCAGAGGGACAGAGCCTCCTGTGTTTGAAATGCTTACACACCTTGTTCTGTGTATCTGTGGGTTGTTCCTCTGTACCCTTTATCATATGATTTATAGTAAATCAGTAAATGTATAAGCAGTTATGCGCCATTATAACAAACTATTGAACAGGAGGAGTGGGGCATGGAATCTCTGAGTTAGAGTCTGAAGTTGGCCTGAAATACTGGAGGCCAGATTTGAGATTGGTATCTGACATGAGAGCAGTCCTGTGGGATTGACTTCTTCTTCCGTGGAGTCTGATACTAATCCCCGGTAATGTAAGAAAAGAATTATAGGGCACCCAGTTGGAATCCAGAAAGTTGGAGAATTAGTTGATGTCGGGTGCGGAAGGGTCTCACAATTTGGTGTCAGGAGTGTTGTGAGTAATAAAGCTTTTCTCTTAGTTTGAATTTGTAAACAATACAAAGAATGTGTAGGACTATAAGTGAGTTTCCCCCAAGTGATGAGGTCCATGAAGGAACACACAATCCAGATGAGGAAATGCCTTAACTCAGTTTTTAAAGTAGCTCATTTGATCTGCTTTTCAAGAGTTCCTTGGCTGTGTCCAACTGAATGCCTCTCTGATAAGACTGTAAACTCCTAGTTGGGCATGGCAGTGTGTGCCTGTAATCCCAGCATTTGGGGGGCTGAGGCAGGAAGATTGTCACAGGTTTATGGCTACCCTGGGCTATACAGTGAGTTCAAGACTGGCCTGAACTACATGGCAACACCCTGTCTCAAAAAAAAAGAGGGAAAGAAAGAAAATCCATAAAGGCTATATAAGCTCCCAGGAGTTGGGACTATGGCTGAATCAACTTTTTTTTTGTTTGTTTGTTTGTTTCTGGTATCAGGAATTGAACTCATGACCTTGCACTTGCCAGGCAGGCGCGGTGCTGCTAAGCTAAATCCCCAGCCCCTGACTGAATCAACTCTCATCTACCTGGAACTGTGAGATATGCTGTGAAAAGCAGGAGGTACTGGATATTCAGGGAGTTTACAGCTATTGATGACGTTAATAAAATAAGGAAGTGCAAAGGGGTAATACTTTTCAGCCAAAATATCCAGAATTTTACTTTGGGAATATAAGATTCCTCTGAGAAACAAACCATCATCTTGTAAAACCACAGCTTGGGCTTTGCCTTCTTATGTTATCTCCTTCTCCTTTGGGTTGGTTTCTGAACATACGACAATCATTCTGCAGTAAGAGGAACAGAGAATTTTGAAAAATGTATGTTATCATATGACTTCAGGATAAAGTATTATTCAAAGCAAAACCCAAGTTAAACACACATGCAGAGAAAAGAAAGTAGAGTAAAATATCAAAATTTCCATTTTTTCCCTTGCTATTTAATCCAAAATTTAATCCCAGGTCTCCATAGCTTCAGAGCCAGTATAGCAGTCAGGAAGCTTTTTGACAGCATTTTAAGATCTTGCATCATCTTTTTTATTTTTTCATCTGTGGGACTTTCTAATTTATATTTCTAAGGCCATAGTTGTGATCAGAGTGACATAAAAATCATTACTGAAAAGAAGAGAAATACCATAAAATCTTCCTAAGTGAGACACTAATGTCATGAAACTCAACATTGATGACCTCCCAAGAACCTGTTTGTTGAAATCCAGAACTATACAATTGCAGTTTCCTCTTTTTAAGGCAATAAAAAAATGCTATATTTATTCCCTGGATCACCTATAGAAGACAGTCAAGGTAGGTCACTTTTTAAAAAAGACAAATAGCATATTTAATTTTTTAAAAAGCTTCTGATTCTTAAAAATATTTGCACATAGCTCGACACGGTGGAACATGCCCATAATCCCAGTATTCCATGAGGCTGAAGCAGGAGGATTGCAAATTCAAGCCCAGTATGGGCAACTTAGTGATTTAGCAAGACCCTATCTCAAAATAAGAAAGGACTGGGGCTGGAGCTCAGGGCAATGGCCCTGGGTTTAATCTCCAGTACTGAAAAAATGCTGGTTAATTTCAGAAAAATAGAGAGAGCAAAAGATAATTCAAAATAGAAGGATACTTGCAAATGCCACCAACAAGACACAAACTCACAAATGTCTTGCGGTTGTTTTTCAAGTTATAAAGAAAATCAACAAATGAGAAGCTGTACCTGTATTCACTAAGTGAATCAAGTACAAGCTGTTCTTTTACACTCTGTTTTAGTCACTTTGCTATCAGTGGGACAAAAAAAAAATCCAACATCTGCAATTTAGAGAAAAGGTTTATTGTGTTAAGAGTTTCAGTGTGGTTTGTTTTTTTTTTTAATTTTTCTTTTTTTTTGTTTTTGTTTTTTTTCCAGTACCAGGAATTGAACTCATGACCTTGCACTTGCCAGGCAGGCGCTGTGTTGCTGAGCAAAATCCCCAGCCCCAAGTTTCAGTGTGTTCAGTCCATGTGTCTTGGTTACTTTTCTCTCATTCCTGAGTCAAAATACCCAATACCCAAAATTAAAGGAGGAAAGGTTTATTTAGTTCATGGTTTGTGGAGGTTTCAGTCCATAATCAGCTGGCTCCAATGCAGGGTGGCATGGCATGGGGCAACAGTTTAAGGCAGAAGAAGACAGCAAAAGGGGGAAAGAGCAAGCCTCTTTCCCTCCCTGATATTGTAAGCAGGTTATTCCCCACCCAGGGTGGCTGTAGCACTCACACCATCTCCGTGCCTTCCCCTTGCACAGGATGAAGATGTTTATAAAGTAAGGACCCTGGTTCCCTGCTGAGTAGCTTAGTTAAACTTCTAAACTTCTCAAGTTGACATAATGAACAACATCCTAGGTAAGAGCATGTCTTCTACACCCCAGGATGTAGAACTACTGAGTTATTTAGTTAAGCTTCTAGACCTCTCAAGTTGACACAATGTATCTACCATTACACCGTGGTTGGGCAGCCCCCTGGCAGAAATGGCATGTTGGATGGGCCTGGCAGAGGAAAGTTGCTCATGTCTTAGTGATCAAGAAGCAGAAAGAGAAGGGAGGAGCCAAGGGTAAGAAAACACCCTTCAAAATCATTCCCTCTGTGACCCATCACTTCTAACAGTGCCCTCCTCCAAGTGTGAGACTTTTGGAGGACATTTTAGATCTAAACCATAACACATTCTGAGGATCAATTCAACGATATAAGTAATCTAGGAATCCTGTATGTTTTTCTAATTAAGAAAATATGCAAATATCAACAACTCCAATGAAAGATCAATTTTTAAGATGTATCATATGACTTATTTTTTCAAAGAGGTTGGAAAGATTTTATGTTTATTTGCTGTTGCTACATCTTGCAGAAAAACTAAAAGCACCTTCTCAGATACTAGTGAGCAGGCACACACACACACACACACACACACACACACATGCACACACACACACACAAATTCCATTCAGGAAAGTTAGAGAAATCCCAGAACACTATTTAAGCAATTAAAATTCATCTTCTTGAAAAAAGGTTGGCTGTAAAATGTATCATTTATAGTTCTAGTTAGAAGACATTTCTTCTCAGTGTCATACTTTTTCCTTCTAATGTAGTTCACCATTCTTTGCTTTTTTACCTGCTTCTCAGAAGAGATCTGAAGTGATCTAACTCTTTCTGGTGACCACATATTAGATCACTGAATTTCTTACTGTGTAGCATGGAACTTTCTTTGAAGCTGAGTTCTGAAGTTTAGCTTAAGTACCAGAAATATTTGGGTCAATATGTGTGGTGTGGCATGTAAAAATAACAGCAGCAACAAGAAAACAATTTTTATTTCTCACCATACATCAGGTACTAGTATTTTGTTTAATTAATCTCCATAATATAATCCTTCTATGAAATAGAGACCACTATTGTTCCCATTTTATATACATGGCATGAAGAGTGATTTACCCAAAGTCACAGGGCTAGTAAGTAGCAAAGTCATGATGGAAACTTGGCAGTCTGTATCCAGAGTCAAAAAAACAACAAATGCTGGTGAGGTTGTGAGCAAATGGGAACCCTTCTACAGTGTCGGTGGAAATGTAAACTAATGTAACCACTATAGAAATCAGAATGAAAATTCCTCAAAGAACTAAAAGTATAAATTTCTTTTGACCTAACTATACCTTTTCTCAATATCATCCTGAAAGAGTTGAAGACATCATATTACAATGATGTATGCATACCTATGTTTATAGCAGCAAAACTCATAATAGCTAAATTATGGAAGCAGCCTATATGCCCATTCACAGAATGGACAAAGACAATGTGGTATATATACACAATGGAGTACTACTCAGCTATGAAAAAGACTAAATCTGAGTCATTTGTAGGAAAGTGGGTGGATCTGGAAATCATAATGCTGAGTGAAACAAATCAGACAAAGGAGGTGAAGTGTCATATGGTATCTCTCATATGAGATACTCAAGTTATAAACAATTTAAAGAGCAAAATAAAAGAGATGATAGGAAACGGAGGTAGACTGGAGATGGGGGAGCAGAGTGGAAAGGGAATAAAAATGATCCCATATATATCTCAAGATGAATATAATTATTATGTATTCAAACGTATGCCAACAATAAAAATGTCATACCTCTAACATACTTTCTTGTCTCACTTAGCAATCTATTTTCCTAGCTGAAAAATTATACTGATTCCTTCTGCCCACCCTGCTCCCTCCGTACATCTGCTTGAGTAATTGAATGCTAAATTCGGTAAAGTATATTCTCTAACAACTCCCTTTCTCAAGGTCCATAAGAAAGGCTGGCTGTTCGCCCACAAAATCTTATTCACTCACCCATCTGAATGGGTCTCTTTGAGACTAAAACTTTACTCATGTTGCTCAAAAGTGGAGGGGAAGTTTTCCTGTTCATTTCCTGTGAAGTCTCTTATGTTATAACCTCTCCTTTCCCCTTCCTTCCCTGCAGCCAGCCCCAAGTGAGAAACTCGGTATAATTTCATACGGTCTGCCTCAAAGACAGGTCATGAGCTCCCAGTACAGAAATTTCTTGCCTCAGCTTTACTGTTGACGGCAAGTTTTATCCATAGGGGTTTAAGGAAATGAATTATAAAAGGAATTATAAAAACTATCCTACCTGGTGACTGAGATAAACCTTATCAGCTCTCATTTCCTCTGCCAGGTGACTCAACAACATTATTAAAGCAAAGAAAGAAACCTTCAAGTCATCATATTAACCTTTCCGTTCTTCGTATAAGACAGTATGAAACCTTGGGATAGTAGGGCTTAAATGGAAAGTCAACTTCACCCCCACATTTTATAGATAAGGAAACTGTACCTTGATGTATAGTGTTTGTAATAATATCACCTATTGGCTGGGGGTTCTTTTGCCTAATTCAGCTGGAAATCACGTGTTGGCAAAGTGCACCTATCTTGATATAAGCTGCTTTGGACTTAGAGTGTCAGTGGCTCTTGGCCTTTAGTGTTACAGTTCTGAGCTTTGGGTGTCAGTGCCTCTTAGTAACTAGTGTTACCGCTTTTAGTATTACACCTCCTAGCAGCTCCCAGCTGCTCCTTCTGTGTCTCAGCAACCAGGGCTCATAGCCCCCTTGGCAGCTTGCAGGAGCTCTTCAAGCAGTTTCCACTGCCTCTCTGAGGCTCCTCCACTGGCCTCTGCTGGTCTTCACAGGTCTTTGCTGGTCTCCACAGTTATCTGTAGGTCTCTGTGACTCTGGGCTCTTCACCGCTCCATCACTCTCTGGAGCTCTTCGGGACTAATAGCCCTTATGTTACCAGCTTCTCCCTAATGCAGCCCACTCAGTCCACACTGCCTGAGATAAGAATCGTGCTGATGAGTCTCTTGGGCCCCATCGCAGCGTGGATAGAGTAGGCACACAGAGACTCTCCACTGCACAAACTGTACAGCCTCTTTCTTTTGCACATTCAAACCGTATAACTATGTAACTTGTATGAAAAGTAGTTAATTGTGCACACCCAAGGAATTTGAAAATAAAACGTAAATGAGGGACGAGAGTGTCTGGTTTCCAAGCCTTCACCTTTGAAGCACCTAATCTCAATCCATGGCTCCACCTAGTGTCAAGGCAACTTCATGAGTCCTGAGCACTGCCTCGTAGGGAAGTTCTGGAGAAGTCAGGCTGCCTCTGTCTCAAATCTCTTGTTATGTGAGCGGTTTCTGCTGTGAATTATAAACCACTGGTGAATGATCTTAGTCCCTAGAAAGAAACGATAATTATTTTGAGCCACAGAATGTTGGTTGATGTTTTAATTTTCAACTAAGTAATTATGTTTTCTTCCCAACAATTTCAAACTGTTAAAAGTAAATCACATGAACTCTGAGATGAAATGTTCTGTAAACTCACTTTTGAGTGTCACTCCCCCATTCATTTTAGTACATTTAGTCTTTAGTACATTGACTTTCGATCCTGGCAATGAAATATCCCCCAAGGAGAAAGCTCCTAGTGGAGATTCTGATTTAACTGGTTTGCAAAGTTTGGCACTGGTATGCTTTAAAGATCCGCAGTAGTTGTAATGGGCAGCCAGAGGTTGGAGCCCTAGCTTCAGCGATCCCTTGGTGCCTACTAGGTTCACGCTCAGGATATACCTGCTGTGCTTTAGACAAACCAGGTCACTTGCAAAGCAATTTTCTACCCTTGGTGCCCTAGCCCATGCCACATATGACTTGGTCCCTTGCCTCCAACTCAGCAGTCATAATCTACCAACAGGTACAGCCTGCTTAAAGACTCCCTCCCCTGAGAATTTCCTTGCCCCTCCTTCCCAAACAAGTGTTTCTTCTACCTTGGAACCCCTGACAATTGTTTCTCCCAGTACTCGGAATTGAACCCAGGGAGTCATACTTGCTAGGCAGGTGTTCTACCACAGAGCTACATCTCCAGGCCCCCCTGAATATTTTTAAAATAAGTTCTATGATATCATCATAAAATAATATATTATTAATATAATATATCAATATAGTATTAATTTTATATTATAATATAAAATTACTGCTAAAGTTATAAACTGTTCTTTTTAACTTATCAGTGTATAACAATCTGAAGGTATGATATTTTTGTGAGGAAAATGAGCACTCCCTATATTGATGAGGATATAATTTGGTGTGATGGCTTTTAAGAACAACCTGGCATCATATGTCAAAATATATGTTGTTTGGCCCAGCAATTCCACTCCTGGGAATTTATCTTACACATGTAACCACACATGTGGACAATAATGCTTATGAAGGAATGCTTGTTGTAGCATTGTCATAAAAGCAAAAGATGACAGACAAGTGAAATGTTTCACTAATAGAGGATTGGCTAAATAAATTATGGTACATCCATACAATAAAATGCTGACCAATCATTTTTAAAATGAGGTACATCTATATTCATGGAGATAGAATAATTCTAAGTTACCTTGTTAAGCAGAAAAAAGATCAAATGCAATATTATACAATGCAATTATTAAAAAAGAATAAGGGTATCTTTATCTATGTTTACAAGCATTAAATGTTTATAGAGGGCTACACAAGAAACAAATTAACACTAACTGACTAGGGAAGCAAACTACAAATAATGGGTATGAGGTGGCAAAATTATACAATAAAAAGTATGAACCTGTTGCCAAATATAAGAATTAGAGCATTACAATTACCTTTACATTTACACAAAGTTGTACTTAGCCCATCCAAAACTTTTGTGTAAATTAGGGAGAAAAAGCTCCCCTTCTTTGAGGTAGATCTATCCTGAGCCAGAGCTCATTGCTTGACCATTAGAACATAGCTTTATTGTTCATGGCATACTTCTGCCCTTATGCATTTTTAGACTTGTTTAAATCGAATCATAAATAGAATATATTCTTCTACAACTTATCTATTTTTATTGAACGTTATTTTTGTAAGAGGCAGCAATATTGTTGCATGTGGTAATCTTTACTGCAGTTATACAATATTTTGTGTATGATTATTATATACTAATGGAATTAACTTAATATATTTAATTCTAGGATAAATTTGAAAGGGTTCCTATAGCTAACTTTAAATGGAAAATAAAGCTAACCTAAAGAATAATAGAAGAACTCTCAAAAACCTTGTTTCTGAGTGAAGGTAAGTATGCTTTCATTTGATGGGGAAGTTTACATTGTATGAAGCAAGAGTGAGCCTATAAAGAAGTGAGTTCAATAGTAAATTTCTGATGTTCATGCACATCTGAACCTTTTATGTTCATATCTTTTACCCTAGATGTCTGCTCTCTAAGGTTTTTTATTGTAATAATGCTGGCTTTAACAGTGATAACCCACCCCTACTTACATAATGAAACATAAGTGGGCTTAGTGAGAGAAGAGCTAAGTTTTGACTACAGTGGACTCTGCAATCTAATGCCTGTATTTATATGCAACTGAAATGTCTTTGCTAACATGCACATGTAAATATACGATAGCCAAGTTTTTATTCAGATAAGGAATCATGAATAAGAAGTTTTCTAAAATTGATAGTAAATTTTCAGACAATAAGAATTCAAATAACTTGTAAACTAGAAAAAAGAAAACTGGAAAAAGCAAGTAAACAAAATCATAACCACAATCAGTCAAAAGGAAAGCAAAAAAGAAAAGAAAAAATAGGAAAAAGAAGCAAATAAAAGTAGGTCAAAAAGCAAATTAAAAGTAGAATGGTAGTAGAAAAAGTCTAAGTGTATTAGTAATTACAAAAATATAAATGGACTAGAATTTATAGTTAAAAGACAATCATATCAGACTAAAGAAGAACTCCAACTACATTTTCTTACAAAAGAAAGAAAACAAACTGTACAATAAAATTACAAGAAAGGTGAACATTATAACAAAATATGGGGAAAGGGGAATAATTGCATTTAAAACATCAAACAAAATAGTCTTTTGGACAATAAGTACCACTAGATATAAAGAGCAGCCACTAAATAATAAAAGGTTCCACTACTCAGAAAGTTATAGTATAATTGCTGGGTATAAAAAAAAAAATTGCTGGGTATAATGATTTCACTTATCTAAAGCAAAAATTAATTGAACTACAAAGGGAGATTATCAAATCTAGGTACTAAAATGATGAATTTCAATATTTTTATCAATTATATATATATATATATATATATATATATATATATATATATATATATCTCACCCAACATTTGGAAAATGTACCTACTTTTTCAAATGTAAAAATGGTGCACATGCAGAGAAAACACAGAAAAGATTTGGACTCTATCAGCTCTCACAACTCGCAGGGAGGGGAAGGAGGCTCCCCAGACGGTAGGTAAGTCCCCAGGGTTGGGAGATTCAGGAAGAAATGACAGCAAAACCAACACCCTGTATGAACTACAAAAACAGTATTGGGTGTTGCTCTAAGATGACTTTTTCCACATTAGGAAACAACCAAAAAGGGATTCAAGCACAGGTACATGCTGCATTGCCATAAAATGCTTAATCAGGCACCATTTCAGGAAGTAGTCATTTAAATCTGAAACTCAAAACAACTTTACTTCAGGGTTCCCATTGTTAACTTTCCGATAGTGACTGGGTAAGCTATAGCCATTGGTAAGACAGGGGCAGCCGAGAAAGAAATCCCCAGAGAAGCTTCAACTCAGGCTGGGAAGGACACAACCTGGTCCCACAGTGAGAAGCCAGGACTGGCTTGAGTTGTGCTCAGAAACGGTAGGTCTGAAAGTGCTGCTGCTGTTAAATACTAAAACCATTGTCCTACTGTCTATATCCAGCACACATCTGAGGTCTGACTGTCCACTGATTGTTTTGGCACTACCCTAATCCTGATAGTGTGAATACAATGTAAGGTACAGAAAGACTTTTCTTGTCCTTTGCTTGCTTTGCTGCCTTATGCCCACCATGAACTGTTTCTCCTCTGGGACGCCTGTCTTCCATGCCACCCTGCCTTGGAGCCAGCCAAATATGGACTGAAACCTCTAGAAACTGTGGGCTAAATAAACTTTTCCTCCCTTAACTTGTGGGTGTTGGGTATTTTGTCTCAGCAACAAGAAAAGTAAGACAAAGGGGGAGGAAAGCAAAAGTCATACAGCCAATTTATTTGAAAGGAAAACAAAGGAAATTAAAAACAGATCAATGAGGTGCTCAGCAGGCTCACAGAAAATACAACTAATCAGATAATAGAGGTAATAAATAAAGCAATCAGAGAGCTTACAGGAGACACTAATAAAAAGCTAGCTGAAGTAAACAACATAATACAAAACATAAATGACCAGTTTAGTAAAGAACTAGAAAACTAGTTCTTTAAAACTAGTTCTAAAACAGTTTAGTAAAGAACTATGAAAACTTCCAAATAGAAGTCTAGATGATTAAAAATGATACTGAAAGTATAGGCAGCAGCACTGACCAGTGTGAGGACAGAACATCAGAATTAGAAGATAGGCAAGTTTTCAAAGACCAATTACTCATAGATACTTTAAAAACAATAAGAGAATATGAAAAATGGAATCAATAGCTACTACATGAAGCAAAGACAACTAATATAAGATTAACTGGAGTAAGTGAAAAATCAAAAGATAGCACAAGGGGCACAAAAATTCTATTTACAGAAATAACAGCAAAATACTTTTGAAATATTGAGAAAGAATTAAACATAGAGATTAACAAGGCATGTAGAACCCTAAATAGCCACAATCAAAACAGAACTACTCCATACCACATCATAGTCAAAATGAGAAAAATTTAACACAAGGACAGAATTTTATAAGCTGTTACAGAAAACCAATGAGTGACATATAAAGGTAAACCCATTGGAATTACAACAGATTTCTCCACACTAACTTTAAGGCCAGGAGAGGTTGGAGTACAGTGTTTCAAAGCCTAAAAGAAAACAATTCCCTATGCAGATTCAAATGTCCTACAAAACTGTCTTTCAAATATGATGGAGAAGCCTAGTGTGGTGGTGCATGCCTGTAATCCCAGCATTCCAGAGGCCGAGGCAGGAGGATCATTGTGAGTTCAAGCCCAGCCTGAGCTACAAAGTGAGCTCAAAGCCAGCCTGAACTGCATAGTGAGACCCTGTCTCAAAAAGACAAAAAAAGAAAAAAAAAGGTGGAGAAATAAGGAATTTTCATGACAAAGAACTCCTCTAAGTAATTTATGACCACTAAACTCTAAAAAATTCTCAAGGATATCCTAGAAAGAGACAATGAAGCCAAAATGCCCAAAAAATCTAGTAGAATGA